GCGTCACCGTTCTCCATATTGTTCGAGAAACTGTTGCGCTTCACGTGACAGAACGGGATCGCGAAAAATGCAATATTGTTTCGGTTGGCCTCCAGTATTTTCCGCGTGCCTCGCTTATGGCAGATTGAAAAACGCGTTGTTCGTGATATACGTATCGAAAGGCTGGGGTCGCTTTTCAAAATAAACAATCGAGCAAACAGAGAGAACGGGTACAAGGACCACGGAGTCCCGTGAAATCGCGAAAAGTTGCCTCGACAGACCGATTCGACGGGTACGGAAATTATTTCCCGACCGTTTTCCCTCCCTCGAATCCGCTCGCGTTTTCATCGGTGCGGATGACACGCGTCACCAAGGCACACCTCGCTCGAATATTTCCAGCCTCAACCAGCTCTCTGCTGGAACTTTGCTTCGCTCCGAGCATTCAGCTTTCATTTCATTTTACTGTTAGCAATGTTTTATTCAGAAGATTATCCTGATGATACAGTAGAAAAAGTCGAATATAGTCAGACACTGGTAATATGGATTCATTTTTCTTGTCTATTGCATCGCTTTGAGTTGATACTTTACAGTATTAGTATAATTTTTATGGTACCCATATCTGACATTGCCAAAAAATATAGCAATTCCAGTTTCATCCATAAAAACGTACATTTTCGATCGTTAAATTCTACTCACTCAGGATTCCTCTTTCCCCTATGTTTTTTTTTAGTTTTTTTTTTTCGTTGTTCACTCAAAGAGCAATTAAAATCACCTGATTGTAGGTGAAACGGCACGCGCTTGAATTCCATGGCGAATCGGATTTGATTCAGCTGGCAATCAGCACGCAGTGATTGCTAATTCGGCCCTGGAAACGAGCATTCCACTCGTTTCGGCCGCTACTTTTTGATCGTTCGTTTAATTAACGAGGAAAAAATAGCCGACGTTTCGACGCTTATGCGGCATAGAATTATGCATACCGGTTCCATTTTACCCGAGCAAATGGACCATTTCCAATTTCGTGAATTTTTGTTTTTATCACAACGAAATCGTCCGGTGAATATTCATTTCTAATTTCAATTTTATATTTTAAAGAGAAAGCAAGAGTTTGTTGCAGTTCATGATCGAACATAAAACGAAGATATTATGGATGACATTTTTTTGTCCGGGCTTTTAATCGAACTCTTGTTCCAAATGAATTATACGTTTTCCGACGATAAATCGATTGCTTATCTAGCCATTGCGAGCCAGCACAAAAATTACGAGCCGTTGATAGGATTATTCGTAAACGTGGATACGATAGGTCGCAAAATATCAGATGTAAGGTTTAGCCGCGTCGAATTCAATTCAACGCGTTATCCTGTAATCGGATTTTAACCTGTGTCGGCTACATATTACAGAGATTCACAGAAAAAAAAGCCAGTAGAGAAAGCATCGATTTCTGAATTGAAATTGAACGGAAGGTGGAACGTTTAAATTGGAAAATGAAACATTACATACATTTTCTTTTGCTATGGCATTCAACGCGTTAATTAAGGATACTCTTTCAAGCCGTTAATTAATAATTTAACGTACGCGGGTACCGATGGGAAGGGTTAACCCGGTGTAAAGGGAGGTTCATAGCGGTTGCATTCCGAAACAGAGATATCAGTTCCCTCTCTCTCAATCCTCTGCTTAAAATATCGTCAGAGACTTCATCGATATTCCATTTGCAACGTTCAGTGTCACGTTCACCGAGGCAGACGGTCCAGGAGGAAGCCGAGAAGGATCAGCATCCGGTTCGTTGGCACGATCGTGCCGCCACGGAAACACCATATTCGAAGACGCTCCTTTACGAGCAAGTCGTCCAATTTTCCTATAATCCCTGGCAGTTCGTTCCTCGGGGACTTGCTCGCTGGGTCGCGCTGGTCTACGTTGAAAACGAAACTCAACTCTCTCTCTATCGTCTTTGCCTGCCGGTTTACCGGAATCCCCGGGATTCGGTAATAATACATGAAGAGAACGTGGGCAAGAGAAAGATAGGCGAACGCGGGGCAGAACGAATTGAAATTTTCATCATCTCCCGCCGTCTGTATTCCTGATGCGAGCTTAATGTAAAATGGCTATCTCGATGCGAGACAATGGAATTCTTTTCGTCCTCCATTTCGAAGATGCTTGGAAAATTGAACAACTCCCTTTACAAGCTGTATAATCTTTTATCGTGTATCGAAAACGACTTCCGTCTTGCCTCTACAGATTCTATGGCCGATAGAAATACATTCTGAATTTCGAGATTGGTACTTGTGTAAGGAGAAGTGAAATGAAATTGAAATGGTACCGCATGGATGTCTGAATCAATGAAACAGGAATAAGAATTTCTGTTAGTAAAATAATATCGATGACAGACTAATTTACCCAGTTATTCTCATACAACAGCCTTTCGTCGAGCAAAACTGAATTTCTCCAGAAAATGAAACTCAACCTCAAAGAGCACACATAGGTCGAAATATGAAAAATAACTGGAAGAAGATAAAGAATCCTCGAAGCGAGAAGAACTCCTCCGGGTGATCGCGGGGAAGATTTAAGAAGGCCGCTTACAGAATACTCCTATTTCATCCCCGTGTGCATTTTGTCGATCGTTAAAGTATCGATCGTAGATCGTTGCGGCGAAAACGCGAATCGCATTACCGCATATCAATTCTCGACGTTCTAGCGTTCGTATAAGTGTGTACGCATACGCTCGCGCGAGTATGCGGAAGGGGTTGAAGGGAGGGCTGGTGTGCTCTCGGGGTGTATCGACAAAGGGAAATTTACGTCGCTCGGGGCGAGGACCTCACTGAAATATCATCGGTTCGTTTCAACCTCGCTTTTGCATATTCATGCGTGGCCAGAGAGACGAGAATCGAGAAAGCGGCGAGAGAAAAAGAGAACAAGAGGAAGTTAGAGAAAATAGAGAAAGGTGGGAAAGATGTACCAAGAGAGAAAATGCAGTTAGAAATCATGGAAATTGGACAGAAACGAATGTGGAAAAATGGAGTTAGAGGGATATTGGAAGAAGATAGAAACGAACGATGAGAAGATAGAGGGTGTTAACGAAAAGGATTCGGGATTTATTCCATGTAATCGATTGAATTAGGATTGTCACGAATTTTTGAAACTTCAATTTTAACAGGAAAGTGGAATATCGCCTTAATATCGTTGGCGGAACAACAAAGTCTCGAATTATTTGGCAGAAATGGCTTTTGTCTTCGGTGGAGCACGTCACGTAGGGAAACACAGAAGCATCGTAGTGCGACCGGTATCACGTAATATCTTCGTGTACGTGGTCGTATCTCCAAACTCGCGGTCGAAATTACTTGTTATTGTACATCTTCTTGCCGCAGGAAATGCGCGGACGAGCGTGATCCAGCTACGCGATTAGTTGAAGCTCGATACTTACAAGCGATATCTGGTTTTGTAGTTTCCGTTGTTCGGTTCCGGCATCGCTCGGATTTTCAGACAATATCCCCTCAGGGAGACGGTAATTTGATTTTGTAGAATGTATATTAATATTTCCCTAACCTTCTGCATAATTTTAATTGTTTAACAAAAAACAATTCCTCCGTTTGAAAGGACCGATGAAAATAGGTCCATAACGAGGAAAGAACAAGTTCAGGAAAAATTGACACAATTTCACGAGGAGTGTAAAACACAAAAAGTGACTCATTAAACGGAAGTACTCGAGAAAATTTCTGCTTATATTTCGTTCTACATTTCGAGCATGGTACAGAGGAATTGGTTAGCGTAGCAAAAAGATTATTATTCATTTTTTAAAAGGTCTCGGTCGAGCGGGAAGGAGTAAAGGTTTAATTAAGCATCGCAAAAAGATTGGCTGGCAGGTTTCGTTTGAGAAAGGAACGTGGTTTAATTTTACAAAATATAGCCACAGAATTCTGTTCCAGTGAAATATTGAAAAATAGAGAGACAAAGGCTGAAAGAATTAAATCGATCAACCCAGCAACAGACAGGAAGCTGAACGGTGGAAATAATGAAACCGGAAGCTAGAACTGCAATTATAACCGCGAGAATGCATCCTTCGAAAAAAATAAAAAATAAAAATTAACATTCCGTTGGCGTAAACGTGTATTTGACGGTCAGCTAAATTTGTATTTACATTCATGAATATTTCATCGGGCATTTTTTGAATATTTATCGAACCATGTTTCGAGGGATTTTTTTATTCTTTGAGTCGTATCAATTTGTAGCCACGAAATCGATGGCCTGGATATATTTCCGCTGGGTCGAGATGGGGTCTCGATAATTGATAAAACATAATTCAGCCGTGAAACGGAATGTTGGAAACGTTGGGATCCATGGAAAGTCAATAATAAATATCAACTATAAGTTGCCGATGAAATATTTACTTTACAACTCTTCCCAATACTCTTTTTAACCACGCTAAATTCACTTTTGCAAAATGGAGAATAGCGAACCCCTTCGAGTGGCCGCGAACCGCGTGTCTCCGTTAATCCATAAATTTGAATATGGTTAGTTCGGGAATCCATCAGGATGCCCGTAAAAAACGCTCGCCGCGAGTTCCTGCGATCGGATTCGAAAAAAATATTTTCTCTCTAATCCGACCCCGTCTCTGTTTCCGCCAACTGATCCCCCCTTTTTCGCCTCTGTTCTCGTTCATGAATATGGAAAATTAGACCTTTCGGCGACGGGATCCTCTCGCTTTTTTTTTTTTTTTTTACCTCTCTTCCTCTTCTCGCTGCGTACGCAGCAGCTCGCAAATTGATTTCGCGCAAGCGGTGCCAGGCTGCTGTTGATTCAAAGGGAAAAGGGATTGCTTTTCCGACTGCTTCCCGATCAAAATTGAAATTCCACAAAACGACGAAGAATCGCGATCGCGACATTCGGTATATACGGTTTGTCTCGCGGGTAACGAACCAACTAACCAATTCCTTGCACTATTTGAGACGAGCATGATCGAAAAACGAGCGGACTAGTTGGTAGGATGGAAGAAGTACTCGAACAACTGATAGAGATAATTTTCTACTCACCCAGTTCTGACGAAGTTGGCGAAGTACTGTACGATGCTCTCGGAAAGTGCCACTTCAGATCTGGTGTAGTTTCTTGGGAAGTGGCCGAAACCATCCACTAACGGAGCCCCGAAAACGAACGGTAACTCTTCACCATGAACGGAGCCCATTTTCTGAAACAAACGATACACCAATTGATTAGTTATAACAGTACAGATTTATCAAAGTAAATAGTCGAGGGATGCCTGATCCTTCGAAATCCTCGAACCACCATATTCCGTCATTCTTCTTCGATCACGCGGTAATTATCTCGTCGACGTAGAGATCCGGTAAACAGTAATGCTTCCGTTTAACGTGACGTACCATCCCCAGGAGGATTTACAAAACGTCTGGGCAAGTATCGAGCGGATTTAGCCGTAGCTTCAATCGCGATGGACACGTCAGCTGTGGGTAATTCAATTTCTTTGGGATTCGAACCCTTTCGACTGGAATTACCGTGTTCACCGGTTATACGACCGCCGCGTTACAAGATGAAACATCGAGCCATGTAACGTGGCAACGAGAAACGACACGTGCGATGTTTCAAGTTTCACTTCGTGTTAGATTCGCCTCGGGAGGAATTTGGGTTTGTACCGCGGACGGGATCGAGTTGTGTAACCCTGGCTACAGTAGAGTTTCCAGATACCATGATCGACCCATAGACGGAAGGATGCAGCTGTCATGATGAATTAAATGGTTTATTGATTATAAAGTAAAACGGAATTTTGAGTAGAAATGGGATTAAACGCTTGCATTAATTGTTAAATAATTCACATTGTATACGATGAAATCTATTCACGCGATTCATTTATTGTTTACAGAGCTACGATCGGTGTTATTTGAACGTATTCTATGGGAAATTTCTCGAATTCACGCTGTCAAACAATACCGTTGCAAAAACTCCAGTTGCATAGGTTTCTAAACAAACAATGCTATGCAAACAAGTTTGCATTCCAGTTTATCGAAAACACATCGTTGTCGCTGTTGTCGCAATTCTCTGAACAGTGTATAGTTCATTCATAACCATGCTTACGATATCGGATTTGGTATTTATTATAGCATTACTATGCAGATGATATGTTTCCCACGAAATATTTTATTCTCTTTTCCTCTGCAGAATCTGTAACAGAGCGGAGAAACGCTTTTATTTCAACGAAAAATCCCTTTTAATGCTCGCATTTACAAAATCCTGCTTTGTGCATTTTTTACGAGCGAATCGAGTCAATTTATTTCCATCTCGACGAACAACAATTACGAGTTTTTCATTTATCCGATAACCTCTCTGTTAGCTAACGCATACGTTTAATTTATTTCTGTTCGTTCCCTGAAAATATTTATTAAAATATTTCAAATCATTTCATGAAATTTTTAAATGCTTGGTTTCACGATAAATAATTTTCCCACTGTTTTCAATCCTTTTTGCAAAGAGGATTTTTCGATGGGATTTGGATTTACAGTTTGTCGAAGGGCAGGAAAGTCTCAAAGGTTGGTTGGATCCTTTGCAAGAATTACAACCGACTATTTCCTTTCGTTCATTTAAAATGGAACGTGGATTTATTACTTCCAGGACCGTAAATCCACGAGAAGATATAAGTGGCTTAACCGATTATACACCGACGTAACTTTGAAGAAACGTGTCTGTATCAAATTTATATTCTTCTTTTATTTTTCACGATCGTTATGATCCAGACGACTTACTTATAACAAACTTTTTGCTAACATTAAAACGAAGACGTACGAAACTCGAGGTTTCCTTGTTACAACAGCAACAAATCGGTTTCTATTAAAAACGTGGCATGGAACAGATTAAATTTCGTTTTCCCTGGAAAATTACTTTTTCTCGCGGACATTTCTATCCTTCCAGTCAGCTGGTGTCTGTTAGGAAACAGTTCTTCCTTGGAAATCTTCCTTGGATTCGCGAGAAGTTATAGTTTCTCCGTTTTCATAAGAACCGGTGGTGATTTCTAAAAACTGTTTTCCCCAACTTCTTTCTCTCGACCGAGGAAATCGGTTTCGAATAGCGAATTCATCCCTTTCGACCGTGAGTTTTCCATCCAGATACGATCTTTTGATTGCGAACGGAGTAAATAAGCGACGAGAAAGAAATTACTTCACGCTATTAAGGGCTGACCGAGAAAAAAGTTGCCATACTTTTTTGTTCTTGGCCTCGTTGCAGTCGTGCGAAACTTTTCCATCGAGGGGTAGAAAAGTTTCTTGCGCTACGGTTTACGATCTACCATCTTTTTTCGCCAGATTACAGGCGTAAACAAACGAGAACGTACGTACGTATCCGTCTAGAAAGCCACGAAGTCGTGAAACTAGCGCAGGGATTGCGAGAAACAGGAAAAAATATCGGTTCCTTGGTAGGAATTTTCAGGAAATTTCTTGGGTATCGTAAAAATTGTACTTTCTTAACAAAAAAGAAAAAAGCGTTTGAAGCAAGATGTCGTACGCAATGGAATAATTTAATTTGTAACAATACGTTTCGGTAGCGGTACCAATGAAATGAAATGGTACCCGAGAAAATTAATGATCGTTAAGCATGCCAGTCGACAATGACAGAAGCCAGTTGGCGAAACAACTTTGATCAAGGTTCGTGGGACAGTGACGAATACACAGCTTCGTCTTGGGGGCTTGTATTTCGAATTCTCCACCAGCTTCCGTCTTCTCTTCTCCAAGTTCGACAAGATTCCGACAAATACGTCCGAGGTCAATTGCGTCCGGTAACGGAGAGAAATTCAGCGAGGTAGAACAAGAAGATACAGAGAACGTTATAGCAGTTAGCAAACATTGATTCAATTTCGTGGTCCAGCGAGTAGAAGATAGAAAGGTGAGGAACTTTGTCAACCAGACGATAATGATAACCCGAAACGCGTGTACGAAAAATCTCTTTCTTAATTCCAGGTACATTTGACAATTTAAATGCATACAACGCGATAAGATCAACGCTTTCCACAGGATTGTTGGCGAAAGTAGAAATGAAGGAAATCGTTCCAAGGAACAAGATCAGAGCCGCGATACATTCGGATCTACGGATTACTTTAACGAAGACCTGCTGCATCTATAAGAGGATCCTGATTAAACTCGAGATCCGCGATAGAACATCGGCCTTCCGAAAAAAAAAGAAAAGATAAGGGTTTTTTTTATGCTTCTATGGCGAATGGATCGAAGAGCAAAGAGCAAAATAGGTCGAGGAGAGGAGCTTAAGTAAATAAGAGTAGACAAGTAAAGACCAACGGTAATGAGCTTAATAAAATAACAAGTAGAAACGAGACCTTGCTTCTATTTTATTTCACCTGCCTCCATTTTTTTTTTCAAAAGAACTGCTGGGAATGAGAGAAATGTTCCACTTTAGCGAATCGTTGCGTCGCGACGCCTTTGGCTAATTATTTAAATTCAACAGTTTCGTGGATTCTTTGTTCTCAGCGTACAATTATGGAAATAATTAACCGGCGAAATATCAAATGACAAATTTTGTTTTCTCTGAATGTAACGTCGACGCGTTTCTCGTCATCGGGACAGACAATTTCCCGTTGCATCAACTTGTGTTTCGCGATTCACGACACACGGAGGAAGGAAGGGTTAGAAAGGGTTGGACGAGGCACGCGGAATTCAGCAGTGAAAGTTACATCGTAATGGTCCAAGTTCGTCGACACCCAAGGAACGTTTCGCGAATATTATGCGACGGGAATGAAGAGAAGCTCTGACGGTATATCGTGACGCTTTTGTAACGAGGTCGAGTTTAATGAAGGGGAAGCAACGACCGCGACGACACTCTCGACGCCGTGGAAACGGGAATTTTGTATGTCATTTTCAGCCTATTTCTCTGCTTGTAATATCTTTCTCTTCTATCTTTCATCTCTCCATTTTTCTTTCCTTTTTTAACATTTACAAAGAATCGAGATTTGTTGATGGAGCGAGAACTTGACTTCAAGGCGTTTTACCAGAAATTAACACGAAATTTCATGGTAATACTGTCGAAAAATGTTTCTTATTTAGTTTGAGAAGAAAAGAGAAGTAATTTATATATTTTTTTTTTCTAAATTTTCAACGCTGCAATAGCTTCTCTGTTTCTATTCATAGCTCTTTATCCGGAGAACAAGTGAATCGAGAGCAGCACGAAATTGCATGTCGAGGTAGAGGAAACCGCGTCGCGTCGCTTCGCGAACCTTAGCGCAAATTCCTCGTCGCACTCGTTCGCGACAATGCGAGCACGATAAGTACGCTCGTTGTTTAATTGTCGCCGAGAAAGTTAAGCTGTAAGCCAGCAAATTCGTAGACCACCACCTACACTTAATACCTGCGATACGAACCAAAGGAGCTTTCTAGTGTTTCACCCCGTCTTTCCTACACTCTGGCAAGTTTCAGTAACTGGGAAATAGCAAGGACGACCTATACATGTATATACTATAGCTCGTTCTTGTTCCTCGAGTGTTTCGTCTGTTCAAGCTTTCGACGTGTTATTAACAAGAACATTACTTTTAATTAAATTGCACGTCAAAGAGTTGATATCTTAAACGCACACTAAGGTGTTTCTATGGTAAAGCTGGCTACACGTCGATTGGGAAAATTTGATCAAACGTTTAAACATCAAAGTTTTCTCTTTTTTATACAGCTGAAGTATTCAATGTTGGATTTTAAAAGCAGATACGCACTACATTTTTTAATTTGTTTCTTTTGATTTGTATCAAAGAGCGGCTCAAACTATGTCAAAAGATCCTGAATTATTTGTTCGAAGGAACGAGGAATAACCTCTACCGATTCAATGGGTGAATATTAATTACGCGAAATAAATGGGTCACTCGATGGATAGTTAAATTTGCTTTTGTTAGCGAACATATTAACGAACTCGTCGCCTATAATAAATGGGTCATTACTTGTTTATAATGACGAATTTCCTCTGAAGAACAAACACGTTCCCGCAAATAATTCAATCCTTTAAAGAGTATTTGAGTTGGCTCATTCTTATCTATTCGCCCAATGTAGGCCACCTGTATAAATAATAATTTATTCCCGGAATTACAATTCATCGAATTGGTGAGATTTATTGGAAGAGTTCACACGATGAAACAGAAAACGAGATGAAGAGTTATATAACGAGATAATGAGCCCTTGATTGATCGAACGACTGAAA